GGTTTGGTCGAGTTGGGCCTTCTTATGAATAGCCCTAATCCCTTGTCAAAGAGCGGTCCACTTTAGAGTAGGGGGAAGTAACGATGAACAAGAAATAGAGTCCTAGCCCACAACAAGATTAGATCAACGTTTTCTTTTAAAAAATCAGCCCAGAGGTTGAACAATTGGTGCCTCTGGGTTGTGGTTTTTAAAATCGATCCGAACAATGAACTGGTTAAGGGTTTGGTTTCTGGGTCAAATGGCCCGACTGTTAGAATCGAACGGATGGTCCGTTCTGAAAAAAATATATATAATTTAAAGGGAAAAGTATAGCCAAAGTCGGTTGTACATTTAAAATTAGGTTGTTGGTTGGTCTAGAAACCAACAAAACTGTGATAGTTGGTTCTACATTTCAAATTATAAAAACCCCCGCCATGTCATTGGAGGCTTATGTGGTTGTTGCCAACATGGGACTCTTAGTCCATGTTGGATACAACAAAATAACCTATACCAAAAATAGATTTTCAGTTTCTCTTCCACTCCCTGTGTCTCTCGATCTCCCTCCCATCTCTCTCACTCTCACAGTCATCTCTTGATCTCCCGCTCCCTTTGTCTTTCCCACTCTCTCAGCTTCGGTCTATAGCCAAATCAAAACATCTCTCTCTCTCTCTATTGTTCTCCCTCAATCTTTTTCATTATTCTCCCCCACTCTCACTCTCGGTTAATATCTCATTCTCCCTCAATCTCTATCATTCTCCAGTTGGTGTAAAATTCATAGCCAAGAGCTTTTTGTGAATTTTTATCAAATTGGTGTAATAATCTTTAAACCATACCAAGTTGGTCTCATGTTCTTTTATATGATTTGATTAATACCATATAAGTGTGTAGGAAAATTAAAAAAAAAATGAGAGAATGAGCATGAGAGAAATTGAGGGACAATGATAGAAATTAAGGGACAATGAGAGGATCGACTGAGAAAGAGAATGAGAGAGATTGAGGAAGAACGATAGGTAGAGAGAGAGAATGAGAGAAATTGATATAGAGAACGTAAATATAGAAACCAAAAACCTTTTTTTTTTTTCAAATCACATAGATGTTAAGCAAATAAAGATGACTGTGAGTGAAAGAGTGAGAGTGAGAGAGAGAGAGAGAGAGTAAAAACCCTTTTTTTTTTTATTTTCCAATCACCCAACATTAAATGGCAATTTCAGTATAAGCTTTTTGTTGTATCCAACATGGATTAAGAGTCCCATGTTGGCAACAACCACATAAGCCTTCGATGACATGGCGAGGGTTTTTATAATTTGAAATGTAGAGCCAGTTGTGAGAGTTTTGTTGGTTTATGGACCAACTTGTAGCCTAATTTTAAATGTAAAGTTGTCTCTAACTATAATTTTTCCTAATTTAAAACTAATCCAAAAGCAAAGCTATTTTCTTATCTAGATGGTGGGTCAGTGATCCAACATTTCAAAGAAACCCATGATGTCATAATTGAATAATAAATATTTAAGTTTATTTTTAATCATATTGTTACTTTTGTTAATTTTTAATCTTAACTATGATATATCTAAAATTCAAGTAATTAATATGAAGAAAATTTTCTCACGTGCAACACATGTGCTTAATTACTAGTATATATTAAAAGTGTGAATGTAAAGTGGATTTTTTTTGGAATAAAATTATCCTCTATTTTTTGTTTGAGAAAAGGTATAAAATTCATTTTATTATATCTTTAATGTCAGTTTTAATGGCTATTAAAATGTTCATATTTGTCTATTTAGTCCATCTCTAATTGTAAGAGTTGAAAATGTAACTTTTCACCTCATTTAATCCCCTCTTTTAAGTCTTATACTTAAGATATTAAGTTTCATTTTCTCCTATTAAATCCTAGAGTTAAGTTATTTTTTTACTAATAAATGCTATTAATTAGATTTATGTCAATATTTTTGACAATATAAACACATGTATTTTAAAACAGGCTAAAAAATAAAATCATTCTTTATCGAAATGGTGGCTAAGCAATTCAACCATCCGAATCAAATTGATCAACCTACGAAGTCATAGTTAGGTAATGAAAATTTTAAAATAAAATAAATATAAAAATATAAAAATATAGAAAAAATTAGACACATTTATAATATTTTTGTTAATCAAATTAAAAAATAAGTGTAATAAACAATAATTATTTTTATTGATAATGGAAATGAATTACATAATTTAGAACTCACCACACACACGCGCACACACACACATATATATAATATTACACATAAAATCAAACAATTATTCACACACACACACACACACAAATATATATATATATATATATATATATAAATTTTGCAAAATATATTCAGGCACATTTATAATATTATATAATTATCATATTAAACAAAAAGTAAGAGTGATATATCAGAATTATTTTTAAAAAGAAAAATACAAAACTTATAGAAAAATTGAACACATCTATAATTCTATATTTACACTCCTATTAAAATATTAATAAGATTGTGGAGTTTTTTACTAAAATACTCATTTTTTTAATTTATTTCATATTTAATTATGAACTAGTGGAATTTCTGTCTTGATATGCTTTCCACAGGAATATTAATTAATGAACTAGTGGAATTTGATGTTATTAAACTTTGGACCAACAACTAATGAGGAGCAATTGAGATAGTTTACTACGCAAGCAAAAGAAAGGGTAAATTAAAATGAACAAATAGCAGTGGTGTCAACGTAGGTTTCCGTATAATTGGTTGGCGATAATGTGATTGATATCTACAAGTAATTTGGAGCATTTTATTGTTGGGCTAAGAATTAGTGCAAGTGATAAATTAAATGTGAAGCCGTGGGCTGCCAACCAGGCATTGCGATGCAATAGTTGAATAAAGGGATCCCAAAGTTTGAAGGAAATATTTTAGAGAAGTAGAGAGCAAGAATAATTGTCAACTTCTTCTATTTTAGTCAATGGTTGATCAATATTCTTGTTCATCTCTCTATACTCTAATCACGGTCTCCATCTATATAACTAATTTCTTTATTTTTTTCCCACTTTTTTCTTATTTAAGTCACCTCTGAACTTGTTGAGTGTCCATTTGGTTTGTGGGAATATGGATCTAGAGAATAGTCATTTTGACCTCCCCCTGAGAATAAGAGTCTCATTCCAGCCACCAATAAATTATAAATATATAGATAAATAAATAAAAGACAAATGACTTAAACCCCCCAAACCCTATTTCTCTTTATCCGATGCCAACTCTTCTTGAAAATCATGCATATATTATGAAGTTCAATTCTAATTTCCAGCTGAACCAAACTGGTGGGAGAATAGGCAATTCTGATTCCAATTCTAGGCCCAGGCCTGAAATATGGGCCTAGGAGAACTTATCATATGCTAAACCATGGTTTTTAAAACCGGACCAGACCGGATGGTCAGACTGGAAAAACCAGGAACCGATCACCATTTTCCCCCAAAACTGAATTTCCCCCCAAAACTATTGATTTTGATCAACGAACCGCTGAACCGGACAATTAACCGTTCGAATCGTTCAAACAGTTTTGACCATTTTTTATTTTTTTTATCAAAACGGGCTGAGCATTCGATTAGAACGATCGAACCGTTTGACCCGGTAACCGGACCCCTGACCAGTTTGGTCACTGAATCGGTTTTAAAAACCATGTGCCAAACAGTTCTTCGCTTTCAAATAGATTTGAGCTCAATGTTTCAGAAGAAGAGGCAGCAACTCTCCTTATTAGCTCTCCCAAACAACCTTACCCATCCCTCCACCCAGAACAATTGAACTGGAGCAAATGGGAAGATGGAGAGAAAACAAAGAAAGGAGAGTGCAATAAAATAATGAAATGGTGGACATCGATAAGCAATCTCTCCACGTTGTCAAATAACAGTACCAAGGAAAAGAAAAACATTATCCAATGGCATCGTCACTGATGTTTGAACGCATTGAGCTGGCAGCGGCCATCGATATTCTTTTTCTTTTCTCGGAGAGATGATTACTCATTAGCGGAATCATCTTCCCAAATTATTCTCTCCCATTCTCTCACAAACACGTTGACATGAAGCCCTTAAACCCGTGGAAGAAGACTCTGTTTTTCTTCATTTTGCAGTCGGGTAGAAGAAAAGGACATCAAAACATATAAATTAAAAGATGCGAACCAAAGAAGAAAAATTGCAGTTGTTCCTCTCAAATTCACAATCACCAACCAAAAAACTGAGACTGTTTTCTTTCTATTCATTGATTTTTGCCTTCTCAATAAGGAGATCCATCCACCACTTTGTTGTTTGATGCAATGTTTTACAAACCGACCGGCATTTCTGCTTCTGGGTCAGCACTTTACCCGTTCGGTCTGAGCGGATGATCCGTTGCCAAAAACCGTTGTCTGGGTTAAACAAATTAATAATTCAACAGCCTGGATCAATGGGTTGCTGACCAAGTCAACAATTTTGACAAAAGAAAGCGCTTCAAGGGTAAAACAGAACTAGTTGACTGACCAGTTTCATTTGGTCTGACCATCTGAGTCAAATATTGCTCTAAAGTCGAAAAGCTAACATTTCTCTTTTTAATTTGTTCTATGACATACCAAAATCGATGTCCCAAGTCAAAGTTTTTTCTGGCTCTATGAACTGTGATTGGCCTAAACCGCTCCCTTGACTCGGTTGAACCATCCAGGTCAACCATGATTGAGAACACAAACTACACACTACCAACAAATTGCAGTTTGGGGTACCGTTTTCAACGAGCCTATACTTGTCAGTACCCATTGCTTTGGCACGGGACCCACATCCAGATAGCAACATATTTAGGATATGGGACCCCGACTCACATGAGCATATACTTGGGGTGTGTTCGCTTATCATGTCTGGTTTTGATTTCCAAAACACTTTTGCCGATGTCGAAGCTGTTTTTATTGTCTTAGGAAGCAAAACCATACATATTACAGAACACACCCCTTGATTTTTTTTTTGTTTGAACCATTTTTCCTAATAAGGCGTAGTCACATTGTCTGAAAGGGAGGAGCCCTTCTTACTGTAATCTGTACACTGGATAAACAAAAGCAAATCATACTTCTTTACAACTCTACTAACACATCTCTCTCTCTCTCACTCTCTCTCTCTCTCTATCTATTTATGTATCTATCTATCTATCAATCTAACTAACTAATTAACTAACTAACTAACTGTGCAATCTAGATGTCCTTATCTCTAGCACACTCGGGAGGGATAGTAGGATACCTTGACCTATCAGTGCAGTAGTTATAGATAGTAAATTTCTTGCGGACCCATTGAAGTCTCCTGTATTGTTGGGCATCCAAGTCATGGAAGGCAATCTGATCCCACCACATTCTTCCACGGCTAGCACAGAACTGCAGAGACTGAGGTGAAGAGGCATCACAACCGTCTACATGGAAGGAAGAGTAGGAAGCAACAAAGGGTGCTTTGCTCCAATCAGTTTTCTCCAGTCCTCCCCTTGTAGCCCAGTCATCAGCATTCCACAAGCTTGAGTATATCTTCATGGGTTGATTGAATGGATATCTCACGCCCAGGTCCCCGTTGTTCTTGAATATCCTTATGGGCACGTTATCCACAAAGAATCTGTCATGTTTTATATCTTCAGTAGTCATGGCGCCTCACTTGAATATATATAAACAACTTAACACAAAGTAATTAACCATGTTTTATCCGTTGTTACAGCCTCCGTGAAGAAGATGAAAGAGGTGCGAATGTGATCATGAACTTACACAATCTGATGCATATTCCATAGGACAGAGTAGGTATGGAAGTCCTGGGCGGGATCAAACCAGAGGTAGATCCTTTGCTCTCTTTCTCCTTTCCCTCCACTGAACACATTGGTCTGCAAAATATATGGTTGGCCCGTCCTGTTCCCCAGGAACTCAAAGTCTATCTCGTCATGTTCTAACTTCTCCGACGAGAGCTGCCAAATTAACAAGAATGTAACAGTTCCAGAAACAATTAATATTGAAAATGATGATGAGATTGCTTGGGGATTTCATCACTAAATGAAACTAGGAAATATATCCATCACCCAGAAGCCTGAGCCAGATGACTGATGAGGCAGCAAATAATTAAATTGAAAATGGGCTTTAAGTTATATATTAGCTCAGTCATCTCAGACCTGAGATCTGATGTTGTGAACTCCTGCTGAAAAGTTTTCACCTTTGAAGATAAAAAAAAAAATGAAACTTACATAGAAAGCGGTGACAACTCCAGCGGAATCACCCCCAACCATTTTCATTCTCATACTGAAATGCCCGAACAAGAATGAGCCTCTTGATTGAAACCCGGTGCCTTGTCACACACAATTCACAAGATGGAAATTGTAGTCTCAAATAGAACAATAAAAAAATGTAGACAGTCCATTTTGTTATACTGCCATATGTTTGATACGTGTCCAGTCTTATGTGCAGAGAACAGGCTACAGAGTTTGGCTTCCATCAGCAACCCTGTACACTGCATCAAGTTTAAGAGTTGGGAGCAAGGGTCTTCAGATAATTAAAGTATACCTGTGTATTTGTCGAGAACCAGCTGAACCTGAGAACCGCCATTGATGTACTTAATGTGATCAGGAGCCCAAGTGGGTACATAGTTCTTCTGAAATGGCACGTCCACAGGCCTCCTAGGCGGTGGGCAGATGACCAATCCAAATGATCCGCATAATAAAAACACAAAAACAAACAACCCCTTAATACACATCAAGTATTCAAGAAGAACAAACCTTGGATGTAGAAAGAGCACTGGTGTTTTGAAGAAGGGAGATGGGGATTTGCAGAGAGGGGGCCTGGCTTGCATCTAAAAGAGGAGAAGCCCAAGTGTATAGATTATAGAATATGGGCTCTGGTGGGGTTTGTGGGGTGGGCTTGTTTTTCAATCTGGATGCTTGTTTAGTGCAGTGTCAGTTGGGCTATATTAAAAACAGCAAGAAGGAGGAGCAGAAAGTGGTAGGGACGCATTAACAGAGACTTGGGTTTGGCAAACCTTTTTGTGTTCAGTCGAACTCGAACTTACAACGACTGACATAGTTAGCTAGCTTGCCGCTCTAGCAGAGAGACGCGTTGGCGCTGAGATAAATTGCCAAACTCAGTGATTCACACGTATCCCAGATAGAGCCAAGCTTGAAAGAGAGGAACCAATATTGAACAAACGAGTGAAGGAAGGAATCGGCATGTCCATGAGTCAATGACCATAGATTGCAGCATTGCATGCGACTGACAGTACTAGCATTTCAATTTTCAGACTGAGTTATAACCAATATCTGTATCACATCGATCGATCTGCTACAACTGGGTTACTCAGTCCGTTGTACACGTCTTGTTTGAAGCAGACTTAGCTTTGTCCATATCCATGTCCGTGACTCCGTTCATTTATCAGTCTTTACTTTAATGGTGCCACCTTACCTCCCTTCTCCCAAAACACGTAGGGTGAGGGGAAAGTTTCTATTTTCCTCGTATTTGCTCTTTTTATATATATTTTTTTTGATTTGGGATGATGCTGGGGTCGTCGTATTTGCTTTTATATAATTTTTTGGTTTTGATTTTTTATTTGAGATTTTGGATACTCTGGTCATCAATGCCGGTTTAGTCAAGTTGATCAATTCATGCTACGGGTGTTCACAGTCTGGTTTGGTGCGGTTTCTAGATCTCAGACGAAACCGGTGGATTACGGTTTAAGAAATTTTCAAATGGAATCAAACCAAATCAAACCATTTTATTTCGGTTAGGTATGGTTTTTAATACGGTTTGAGAATTTAGACCATTCTATGATTTTATTGGGTTTAATCCAATTAGAAAGCCCAAATAATTTCCCTAAAAATTAAAACTTTAAACTTTTATTTATACATCATATATATTCATATTATATTTATACATTTACATAATATTATATAATTTTGGTTTACGGTTTAGTTTGATTTAAAATCCAGTAAACCAAACCGAAACCGTAAACCTAATTTAGAAAACTACTAAACCATTTTTAGGTGTAAATCAAACCAAATTGTAAATTTAGTTTGGTTCGATTCGGTTTTACGGTTTAAACCGTATAATGAACACCCCTAATTCATGCCATCTCTCTCTCAAAATGCATGAATGGACTCCGCGTGATGTTGGGCATGAGGAGAGGATTTGCTTAGCTAGATTCTAGGGTGATCAATGATCATTCTTAACCCAGCCCGAAAAAATGGCCTGGGCCTGTATAGCAGTATAGGACAGGGTCTGGGCCTATATTTCAGGCCCAGGATGCAGGTCAGGCCAGGCCCTTGGCCTAGGTTAAGCCCCTATACGCCCAGTCGCCCAGACCAGACCAAGCCCTGCCCATTTCTGATGGTTTAAGTTGAAACGTTGACTTAAAAACACCTAGGGTACTAAACATTTCATATATAATATGTATTCTTAAATGAATTAATCCTCTTATCAGCGATTAGGGGTGCAATTCGGATTGGCCAGTTTAACATTTTACACTGTTTTGGGCTCAGGGTCAGGTTCATTCAAATTTTGATAAAAGGGAAACCCAAGCCCACCCAATTTTGTTTTTTTTTTTCGTGAGACTATACAATGCGGGGTAGCCCATCCCCTCCCCTTAACCCCCAACCCTGGAGGTAGCAGGATTTGATATCAGGTCAGGTCTGCTATAACGAATTAGAGATCCTATCAATTGAGCTCAGTTGGTTAACATCGCAAGGTAGGCCTCAATAGAAAATTGTGAAGCCACCCCAATTTCTAAATGGGTTCATGAAAAGTTTGATTCGGTTTGGTTTTAATTGAGTTCGAATCCAATTTACAGGCTCATTTATTAATCGAGCCACGCTCAAATAGCTACGTACTACTACTACTACTACTAATAATGATAATAATAATAATAATAATAATAATAATAATAATAATAATAATAATAATAATAATAATAATAATAATAATAATACTAATAATAATAATAATAATAATAATAATATATAATATATATAATAAAAATATTATATATATAATATTTTTATTTTTACATATAATAATAATTAATTATTATAATTCTTAATTTTTTAAATATTAAATATAATTCTTTTATTTTTATAAAACATTTCTCAAATTGAGCTCGAGCTTATGAACTTTTGACTTTAGCTGAGCTCGAATAGCTAGCTATTCTACTCGGTTTGGCTCTAATCCACCCGTAATCTATTCTCTCATCTTATCACTTATTAGAACTACTCCTAGATTTCTACGGATGGCTTTAAATAGATATTGCCCATAATTATATAAGTTCAATATATTTTCAAAAAAATATAAATTCAATATTTTATATTTATATTTATGTTAAAAAGTAAATTTATTATATGTATAGTATTTTTTTTTATTTTAAACACAACAAAACGAATTCAAATTATCCAAATATAAAATATCGAATTTCGGATCAGATTCGGATGATTCTGGATCCGATCCATATCCAACCCAATTACAGCGTTATCCAAAGACAAACTACCCGTCTACACACGAATTAAAAAGGAAACCTCGCAATCCAGCTTCAGATATGATTAGAGTTTGTGACAGAGAGTTGGATGCTGAGCTGGGTCATAGTAGGATGGCAGACGAGATGAGTGGCCGTTGTGGTGGACCCAGGTTAACCACAGAACTGTGAATGAAACAATTCGCCCTTTTAAGCTGTGAAGCACTGAAGCATAAAAAATAAAAAATAAAAAAGAAAACCTAATTCAAGTTCAAAAGTAATACGTTACTAGTAATTTCCTTGTCTTGATCAAATATATAAAACCTTATATATAAGATTCAATATGCTTGCTTTCCAGCTTTAATTTATTTCTTTTCACAACTCGCATCCACATCCACCACAGTCCACACAGAGATGGACGGTATCTCTCCCTTTGCCTCATCTACACCATGGGTTCTTTCCGACGAAAATATCAGAGTTATGCGCTTTGTGGTTGGAATTCTGGGTAGTTAATTTCTCTTCTGTTCTTATTTTAATGCTCTACTGCTCTTTTGAATCCCTGCTCTATGGAAGCAAAGGTAGTTTGAATTTCTCTAAAGCCATGATCTCGTTTGTTAATTTCTCTTTCAGGGAATGCTGCTTCTCTACTACTTTACACGGCACCCATGTAATCAGATGACTAAACCCAGTTCCCTAAATGATAATTACTAGATGATTTTGATCAGTATTTCTCGCCTGATCGATAATAATTATTCTCTTGCATCTTCGTCTTCGCTCTGCAGACTAACTTTTAAGAGGGTGATAGAGAAGAAGAGCACACAAGACTTTTCCTGCATTCCATACATCGCCACCCTGTTGAACTGTTTAGTTTATACGTGGTATGGTTTGCCGGTGGTGAGCCACCAGTGGGAAAATCTCCCAGTTGTCACCATCAACGGCGTGGGGGTTCTTTTCGAGATCTCTTTCGTCCTCATTTACTTCTGGTTTTCTTCAACAAGAGAAAGGGCAAGTTTCTAGCTTCATAACTCAATTTACTCTTTGGCCTGTGTTTAAGGGTTAAACCCAAACACCGATTTCCAACCCTAAAAACAATTCTTATTGATGATCTGGTATAACACCAAAGATTGGAAATAAGGGTGTCAATGGTATTGGAAAATCTAATTTTGAATTTGAATAATTTGAATATCTAATCGGTCAAATTTGGATATGCCCTGATTCGATTCGATAAATATCTGAATTAGATCAATTATTTAATTCTTATATATCATATATAAAATATTTTATATAATTTATATATAATAATTAAAGTTATATAAATAATTTATATATTTATATATTTTATATCAATAAAATATTTATTTTATTTATTTATTAATTATATAAAATAATTAAATAATCAATTTTAAATCAAATAAAATATTTGAATATTTAATCAAATTCAAATTCGGATATTAATTTTCAATATCTGTCGAATATCGAATCAAATTTGAATATCAGATTTTAATCATATTCGAATTCGGATATTGTTGATTCAATTCGAATTCGATCTATTTACACTTTTACTTGGAAACCCCATTCCTGACCTACCTCAGCCACCCCTAACTTCGGGTTGAGGTTTTGGAAAACCTAATCAACCCAAAATTCGCAACCAATGGTCTGCCAACGGGTTGAAACAGGGTAGAATCAGAACCGATCTGACAAAAAAATTAAGGAATTGGAATCGAATCAGACTTGATGATTTTAGATCCAGAACCGAATTGATTGGTTATTTGGACAATCAAGTCTGATTTAATTATAATAAAATTACTGAAAACTAATAATGACCCAGAACGGAACTGATTGATAATGTATGTATATATGTATAATGATGATTTGGGATTGGGTAGAATTGGTTCCAAAGTAATTAGGATTGGGACAATAGTTTAGGAACCAATACTGACTCATCGGTGCAGATCGTGGAACCAGAACCCGCCCAATTGATTTACATCTATTGGATTAGACCCGACCCTTTGACAGCCTTATACACACTAGCGCAACATTAATTACAGCTCGATCAAGCGAACAAAATTTACAAACCTCTACTTGCTTTGGCAATATCAGACCAAATCTTCTATCTGATTAGATTGGAGAGAAGTCCATGGAATTCATAATGTGTTTTGGCAACTACTCATTGTTTCTTTACTAAGCATTTTCTTCAATTCTACACAGTAGAATTGTTCACATGAATGTTGTAAGACTCGAACCAGACTAAAAACCGGAATGTTCTATAGGTCCCGATTTTGTTGATTGGTGATTAACCCCATAAAAACCGTGATTTAAGGGCCACCGATCCTCGATTTTTATGGTCCAACCATCCGACCTGGGCCGGGTCTTACAACATTGGTTCACATGATCAATTACTTTTGCTGCCTGCATGTATATATACATATGTTAATTATATTCCAATATTAAGTTTTAATGAGAATTTTATTTTAATGGTGCAGAATATTTTTTGTTTGATAATGCTACCAGCCATCATCATGTTTTGCTCTGGTATGATAGTCTTGACTTTTGCATTGCATGATCGCCATTACCGCAAAGCCATTGTTGGGGGTATAGGATTACTGCTCTCTATTACAATGTATGGTTCTCCACTGGTGGCTGTGGTGAGTCATTTTCTTTTTCTTTTTCTGCCTAATTTATCCTCTATCTATTATCTTCTAGTTCATCCATATTGTCCAAGTTAATTCTTCAAATGCAGAATTTACTAAGGGGGTGTTTGTATGCTTTTGCTATTTAAAAAAAAAAAACAAAATTTCTATAATAATAAAAATAATATGATTAATAATGCTCCAATGCAGCAATTTTTTTTTTTGTTTTGAAAAATAAAATCATACATATTAGCAAACACCCCATAAATTAATGCAATTTATCCATTATTATTCTGAAATTAGGAACTCAGTTCAATCCCAAAATCCGGAATGCAATTTTTAGGCTAGGGGTGCTCACGGTCGGTGGGCCTTTTTTTGTAACTGAACCAGTACTACCGGTTTTCGGAAAACCAATAATCGAAACTGAACCAAAGCCAATCGATAACCGGTTGACCGATTCGGTTAACCATTGGTTTGGTTCGTCGGTTTCTTGGTTTTTTAATTTTTACAATATATAATAAAAATTATATATATATAATATTATATTTTAAATAATAAATAATATATCATATATTATAAATATATATTTATATATAATGCATATTTATTAATTTATAATATATAAAAATATAATATATATATATATAATATACATAAATATATGTAAAATAAAATATATAGAAATATATGTATACTAGTCGATTTGGTTAACTGCCGGTTTTTTATATTGGTTAACGAAAATTGAACCGGTACCTTCAGTTTTTTAAAAACATCGAATTGAAACCGAACTGATCAGTTCTGTTAACTGATTTTTCGGTTCGGTTTTAATTGATTCGATTTTTTGATTTTTTTTTTGCTCACCCCTATTTTAGGCTATTCTGATGATATGATGACTATTTCACTGTATCAATTATTATTATTTTTTTTTTCAGAATGAACCCTTAACTCTACTATGTAAAATGTAAATACAGAAGCAAGTGATCCAAACAGAGAGTGTGGAATTTATGCCCTTTTACTTGTCCTTCTTTTCATTCCTCACAAGTTCACTTTGGATGGCATATGGTCTACTTGGCCATGATCTTCTGCTAGCGGTTTGTAATTGAGATCAACTTCATTTTATCTGCTTTAACACCTTCAACTCTAGAGAAGTACTAGAGAGTATAGACCTCCATTAGTAACCACTAACCAGGTCTTATAATTTTTCTTCTGCAGTCCCCAAATCTGCTAGGCTGCCCATTAGGCATCCTCCAGCTTCTCCTATATTTTAACTTGTAAGTACAGGAAAAGGATGAGAATACTTGAATAACATTACAAGATTGATTTAGAGCAGAATTCAGAAAATTTTCAATGTCGTCACCCTTTGATCAGAAAGGTCTAAGCAATTTTCTCTTTCGAGTCTCCTCATAAGATCATTATCTTCTTGGTGCTTGGGACAAGTGAATGGTTATCCAAAATAGTATATTGTGATTCTTGCAAGGAGAAATTGTAGAGTTGCACACTTTTATTTTTCCTTATCAAAAGCGTCTGCATCACAAATGTTTTGAGAAGCTGCACAGTTGTCATGGGATATAGTAATCAAATATATATCATATTTTTATTATTAAAAATTCCCAATTTCTTTGTTGCAGAACAATTTCATTTATTTATTTATTTATGTATTTATTGAGAGAATGGGTGGTGGTGGTGGTTATGGTTATATGCAAGGATTAAAATATTGATACCCAATACCCTTAATTAAATGGGTATTAGTGCACAATATCAATATGGTCAATATGTTATATTTTTATTTTATAGTTATTAGAGAATTTTATTTATCATTTTAAAGTTGTAGTTGTTTAAAACAAATCTTTGTATCAATGTATTTAATCATATCTGAGTACATCGATACTAATGCGGTATATACCCTATATTGGGCATATTGTGTCAATATTTTATTTATTGGTTATATAGTATATAAAATTTTCCTTGTTTGTTATCTATAGGTTGCACCTTGTGCTGTTGTAAGTTGTACCTTTTTTGCTTCTAAGATGAAATGTAAGATCCCAATTTAAAGCCCCGAAGAGAGTGGGGCTCTTGTCAAATATCATACCCAATAATGTGTTTTCAAAGGGTAAGGTTATAAGTTTTATATAATTTGGGTAAAATATCATACCCAATAATGTGAACTACTACTCACTTAGGTCCTTGAACTTTCATTTGCAACAAGAGCTACTGTTACTTTCATATTCCAACACTCTATTCCTTCCTGTCTTTAGCATTTTATTTGCAAATCTAATATGACACTTTTAGACATATATGAGACCATTTTGCCCTCTCATTTATTGCATCTCCAAAATCCAAATGACACTTTTTCTCATCTTTATTCTTTTCTTCTCATTTGTTTAAGAGAGAACAGAGGAAAGTTGAAACCCGCTATCTTTGTTGGTTACAATCAATAGTAAAGGACAGAGAAAAATGGTTTCATAAAAGTTCAAAACAGATGGAATACCAAAGGCAGGAGCAAAATGTTAGATCTGAAGATACAGGATAGTGGATAGTCCTCTATCGCAAATGAAAGTCCGGTGTACCTCAAAGTACGAATTCACATTTGCGACCCACAAGGGGGTGCCCCACGACGTCCCACAACACATCCCCACTGTGTACATCCCCGATGATAATATCAGAAATGATGATGCCATCATCAAGAGATATTTCCAATACATGACGGGGATATGTTGTGGAACATTGTGGGGCGCAGATCTGAACTCCCCAAGTACAGATAGTTTTCTGCATTTCACTCTTTTAATTTTGATGAATGATCAAAAGAATACTATATTAAAGGATTAATCAAAAAAAAAAAAAAAACACCACAGTTTGCTAACCATCTAGGAGGATTATCAAAACCACACTTCCTAATCCATTGAAGTCTTCATGAACTGAGCCATAAGATGAGCTGGCTCAATTACAGTTCCATTACATGTAGAATCAAAATATTTACACATGGATATAATATTGTACAAATTAAAAGACACTGCCAAAGAATATTCAGAGATTGCTGATTATGTGGCTATACATGCATGGTACAAATCAGGACCATAAATTTATGGGTGAACCCTGTGAGTAAAGTTTCTTTCTTTTTCTCTTTAATCTGTCTTTTATTGATTTCTTTTTCTCAAAATATTAACCTATAAGTTTTATGACTCATACGTTAATTGTACAAACTTAATGCATTTCACTTATCCAAAATATCTTTCATAAATCATACAATATCTCTACTCAAAATTTGTTTTGTAGAGAGAGAGAGAGTACAAACTCACGGAACCCTGAAAATATGGCAACCTACCAGCGTACTTCACGTTTGGTAATCTCATTTATACAAATCTGACAATAGAAAAAACAGAGGCGGCAACCTTAAATGGCCCATGGGCTTTTCCCAAGGCTAAGCCCGAGCCCAACCTAACTCGACCTATGCCTTTACACCGATTGGGTTGAAAACTTGGACTTGGCTTGCCCAATAGCCCAAGCCCAGTTCAGGATCTAGCTTGGTTTGGTCTCAAACCGACCCAGGGCCCAACCCATCCAAAAAGTTGCATCCCAACTTTTTCGCATATGTCACCATCATTTTGCATTGCTAGTAGGGTGGAAAAGAATATTGATCTCGACATATTCATGTTCGTAGTGAAAAGACAAAATTCATAGCCATTGTACCCCTTTATCAGAAATTGGATGTGCCCAAAATCATTAAAGATAAAATAATGGATTTAGGGGGGTGGGGTATTTGCATATATGCATGAATCAAAACAAAATCATGCACAAACAGCTCCTTAATTAGTCGTGGGAAAAAGGCAATTCATCAACTTTGGGTTGTGTTTGGTTTGATGGGAAATAAGAGAGGAACAGAAAGCTATGGAATCTCTCTTGTTTTCTATTAAACCAAACATATAAAAATATATATATATATATATATATATTAGCCTTATAAGATGGGGCATTATTTGTCAAGCTGGATGAATGTGTTGTCCAGCTGAGCTAGATAGGGATTCCTCTGCCAGCAGAAGTCACGGGATTAGACCAAGTCAGCCTGTTGATAGAACCTAGTTGGAATGAACTACTTCAAAGAATTGTAAAGACTACTCAAAGTGGGGCTGACTTCTTTTTTTCTTTTCTATTTAGATTTTCATTAATCTATAGAGGAAGGAGGAACACAAGTTTCTGTCTTACATAAAAAAATAGGGGACAACCCACCCAAGTCATGCCAAAACCAATAATTTAGATCTTCTGTATGTTCTATATCATGGTATTCCAACTTCCAAACAATACCCATGTCCAGACAATAAGGAACATTATAGATAGATCTGCTTTATGCTCTGTGTGTGTGTGTGTGAGATTAGGTGAGATAACACCAGAAGACACAAGCTACCAAACTGCTGTGCCCATGATAATCTGGAAAATGAAAGGTGTAAGCCATTGTTTATGGTTTATTGCATGAATTAAGCCATGAAGGGTGGGAAAGAGACAAGCAACTAATCCAGTCTACATCCTCTGATACTTCAAAATCAACATTCTATACTCGGCTTAGACAAGACTTTTATGTGCTAATGAGAAAGTGATGGACCACTTCCCCCCATCTCTACGTCTTAATGATAGGTGGGGGGGGTTGGAGAAAACTTACACCGTCAGTGATTGAGACAATTTTATTACATTATTTGATTACTTTTATATCCATTAGCGTTATTCAACTGTTACACTCATGAATCCAAGTGTTAAGCTGAGGTTTTCTTGGACAGCCAAATGAACACTAGAATTTCAGAAATTGTTCTGGAGATGGGTGTTGAGTAGCAGAAAAGCATATGTTCAGCTTTTCCTCTTAACAGAAATATAAAAGAGAGCCAAGTTTAAGAAAGCCTAGGTAAAAAGTGAGGAGCTTTTTCCTTAAAGAAATAACCGTATTTTGGAGGAAAGACTTGTGAGGTTAAGAAGAGATCAGAATGCATGAGCCAAAGGAGTAAAGAAGGCCCAGTACCACTGCAACTACCTGGTTCAGGGGTTACTTGGAGTAACATTAAAGACTTTGTATTAGATCTTCTCCATTACATCAACCCTCACCACCCCAGTACAAAAATAGTAAATTTCTTCAGAAAAAGAAACAAAATGATGAAGCAGAGTTGTAAGCAGAGAGTTTATTGATCTCTTGATGATTTTTAGCTGAAGAACATGGGTTATAGTCAGATCTTTTGTGCGATCCTCTTCATCTTTGTACTCATTTCATTTCTCAACTACCAGATTTTGATGTCAGGTGCTTCATTGAGTACAGTAAATAATTCTGTTGAACGTGGCATGAAAGAGTTCTACTGGGTGGAAGATAGTTCAGAAACCCAGATTAAGATTAGAAAGGTCTCAGGAAATGATGAGAATGAAGAGATGACGGCTTTGATCTTAGAGAAGTTCAGATTATTGCGTGGACTAAACAATGTCCACTTAAGAAGTCCAAAACATGATCACGTTGAACATGGGTTCTCAGCACCTTCTCCAGCATCATCAATTGAAGCTGAAGCTCCAGTTCCTGTACACTCTCATCATCATCATCCATCACTTCATCCAAGTCCGGCCCAGCCACCTAACAAGGCTCAATATGGGAATGGGAATAAAAGAGTTAAAAGAAGAATTGTTATAGCAATTCTTGCATCCATTGGAGCAACGTTGGTTCTATTTGTTCTTGGGCTCATCTTGGCCTTGCAGAAATTGAAAACATGTTGTCAAAGGGGACATGCAAGCAGAATGGTATCTAGAAGGAGATCAAAATTTGAGAATTCCCCAAATTCAATAATCAAGGTAAGTTCTATTCCAGGCCCAGATCTTTCTTATTTAGATTCATTAGCTCCAGTTTCAAAGCTAGAAGCATCATGTATAAATCACACTTGTGAAACTTTGGCCATATCAACCAAACAAGAACTATTGAAGTCTTTGTCAGATGAGGTAGATGGATCATGCAGAAAATCGACGAATGCAGAATGTGATTATGTGAATTGCTCTTCTGCTGAGGAAATTCTTTCTGTCCACGCACGTGTAGAACCAATCAAGAGTAGTAGTAAATCTTCATCTACCTATGGAAGTATTCATCCTGAACTCCTGTCTCTTGATGATGAATCATTTCACTCGTTTTGTGATTCATATTCATCAAATGTAAGGCTATCCAATGCTTCAGAAGGTGGTCTGAGTGATCCACCCAACCACTGTTTAAGAGAACCTACGCTGCCCCACTCACCAACTCCTCCCTTGACACCGGATCTAGAACCACCTCTATATTCAAATTTGCACTCTTCTCCTGAATCTCCAATTGAAATCAAGCAAAGAACATCAATATCCCCTTCTTTCAATTGTCTGCAAGATTTACTTCCACCTCCACCACCACCACCAACTCCTCCTCCTCCTCCTCCTCCTCCTCCACCACCACCACCTATTTTTCTGGATTCACCTCGGCATTCAGATTCATCTTCAGGATCGAATCAAGGCCCAACTGAATATGGGACTTCTTCTCCTATTCCTACACCAATTCAGTCTTCAATAATCCAATTGGGTAGTAATGGAAGTATTCCTCCCCCACCATTCCCACCTTTGCCACCTCTCTTGCCAACTCCATTTCAAAAGGGCCAACCACCGCCACCCCCACAATGTGTACTTCCTCGATCTACACCAATTGGAAAGAATGGAGAGCCATTGCCAAAACTAAAACCACTTCACTGGGATAAAGTAAGAGCTGCCCCAGATCGTTCCATGGTGTGGGACAAGCTGAGAACAAGCTCATTCGAGTAAGCTAACACTGTTTTTTGTCATTTTCTTTCTATGTCAATATATTTTCTATTTAGACTGAACCATCTTGTGGGGCAATGAAACAGATTAGATGAGGAAATGATTGAATCACTCTTTGGGTACAATTTCCAAAGTTCAATTAAGAATGATGAAGGTATGAGCAAGATTTCATCCCCAAGTAGGCACATCCTTGAGCCTAAGAGATTGCAGAACATCACCATACTATTGAAAACCTTGAATGCAACTATTGAGCAAGTTTGTTATGCACTTGTGCAAGGTATCGTACCTAGATCGTAAAAGTCACTAGAAACAAATAACATTGCATTAATCATTCTGTTTGTGCCAATTATTTGATATTTTCGGTGGATAAAAGCAGGGGATGGATTGTGCTTACAGCAACTAGAGGCACTATTGAAAATGGTACCAACCAAAGAAGAAGAGGCCAAGCTCTCAAACTATCAAGGAGATGTCAATGAACTGGGGCCAGCAGAGAGATTTGTGAAGATGATGCTTGGAATACCCTTCGGTTTTCGGAGGATTGAGGCCATGCTCTATAGAGAAACTTTTGAAGATGAGGCGGTTCATCTCAGAAAGTCCTTTGAGATTCTAGAGGTAACAAAATCTAATACTGCAAAGCTATTTTAATTTTGAACCAGTCATTTGGCATGGCTGCCATTTGAGTTCCTCCGGTGTTTTTTTTTTTTTTTCAGGAAGCCTGCAAGGAACTCAGATCAAGCCAGCTATTTCTGATATTACTTGAAGCTGTACTTAAAACAGGAAACAGGATGAATGTTGGAACAATCAGGGGGGGTGCCAAAGCATTCAAACTAGATGCCCTCCTTAAGCTTGCAGATGTGAAAGGAACTGATGGGAAGACCACATTACTCCATTTTGTTGTCCAAGAAATGAGTCGTTCAGAAGGAATTAGAGAATTTGAGATCACTACAAAGAAGAGTCATCCAAAAGTTAAGAACAAAACTATTGATGAAAGGGAAGAAGATTACAGAAGAATGGGCTTAGATCTTGTTTCAGGCATGAGTGCTGAACTCTGCAATGTGAAGAAGACAGCCACCATAGACTGGGATGTGCTGGCGAGCTCAATCACAACCCTATCAGATGGAACGATCAAGCTGCAACATCTAATACACAAGGATTTGTCTATGGATGCTCAAAGTGAGAATTTCGTTCACTCTATGAGATCTTTCCTGAATCATGCAGAGAAGAGTATCAAAGAGTTACAGGAAGATGAAGATCGAGTCCTATCACATGTGAGAGACATCACAGAATATTTTCATGGAGATGTGGGCAAACATGAAGCTAATCCACTTGAGATTTTTATGATTGTGGGAGACTTCCTGGGTATGTTAAATGAAGTCTGTAATGAGCTTAGAAGCTTGAAGACCCCAAGTGGTCAAAACTCTGTGGCTCCTTTCCGATAGATAAGATCAATCTGTAGGTTTATAATTATAAATGTATAGACTTTTTGTATGAGATCTCTGTTTTTTACCTTTTTTCTGGGTATTCAATTGCTTTCATCCAACTGTTCATGTGTCTACATTTTCAATCAAGCAAACATTGTGACTGTTGATGTAGCTACTAATATCATCTTCAACCAGATTGATTTGAAATTAAAATATCTGCTTCACATCATCTCTCTCTCTCTCTCTCTCTCTCTCTCTCTCTCTCTCTGTCAATGGTGATGCTGTTGATGTCGTAAACTCCTACCTATTCTCGACATCGATCAATCCTCTCCTTAACGTTCTTGTCTTCCTCTGCAAAGACTGCTGCTTCTTTCACCATCATCTCAATCCCTTCCTGATTAAGACTGCAGACATCATTTGTACTATAATTCCACTCTTCCCTGTTTGAAGCCTTGTCCTCTGCCTTCTTAGCACTCACTGTAGCGCGTGCATGATTGCATCAACATCAAACCTCTTATCCTACGTTGAAAAGCAAAACCCCTCTAAACAAATCAAAATTGAGCACAGAATCAACACAGTCTCTTGTTTGAAACTTATTGGACGGAGACTCAAAAGCAGAGTGTTGCAGGGATCAACCTTGTCACAACCCCACCAACAGACTCAATTACCAGAAAATATAGTGCAACATCGAGCGAAAAGGATGCCTGCAAATAACCAGAAAGAACAAGAACACAGCAAAGGAACATGGGCAATCGCCCTGTTTAACAGTGACATCGCATCACCTTTATGATTTTTGCATTGAGAATTCCCCCATGGAAGCAGAAGCTTCGTAAGGAATTCAACAGCGATATCATAAATCAAAGGGTTTTGGATTTATAAAGGTAATAACTGTTTGTTCTTCAGTTCTTGTTGACTGGGCAATCCGAATTCGATCCGTCTATGATTTGGATGTACCATATATCCGATTCGATCCGATCCGATTGCTGAGATTTTAAGCCCTTGGACCGGGCCACGTAAAAGAAGGTTCACCGCCATTCTTGGCCATTTGCGTTCTGGCGCTGAGAGAGCAGAGCAGAATATATGAATGAATTTTCTCAAACCCATCACTACACTCCATCCCTGTATCTTCTCTCTCTCTCTCTCTCTCTCTCTCTCTCTCTCTCTCTCTCTCTCTCTCTCAATCAAATCTCACTTAGACTTGTCTGAATAGATGCTCTGTAATTTGGTTACCTTGCTTGCTCTGTAAATAAAGGCATTGCTTCTCCCCCTTTTTTTGGATTAAAGCGAGACCCGCCGAATTTCAGAAACCAACCCAGCAACTTCTAGAGTTTTCTGAGAAAATAGAAATGTTGATTACTTGATTTACCGAGTAGGAGGAGGAAGAGAAGGTTTCTCCAGTGAAGAAGAGTTGTCCGGCGGTGAGTTGGTATTGTTTCCTCCTCGATTTCTCGGCCCACTCGAAAATGAGCCAGCAGGAATCGTTTATCTACAGCTTCGTGGCTCGAGGGACGATGATCTTGGCTGAGTACACTGAGTTCACTGGCAACTTCCCTGCCATCGCGTCCCAGTGCCTTCAGAAGCTCCCCTCCTCCAACAACAAGTTCACCTACAACTGCGATCACCACACCTTCAACTTCCTCGTCGAAGACGGCTACGGTATTCATTCCACCGCTTGCTTCTGCAGATCTTTTCTTTCCTTCACTTTTTCTTTATTTTTTAGTAGATATAGRGTTTAGTGACGCTAGTTGTTCCATCATGGTTGGTTGATRTTTGCTATCCATCGTAGTTGATTTTAAGTTGGAATTTTTAGACAACTTGAAATGGATATAATAGGATTATCTCATGACCTAACCGATCCAGAGAACTTTATATGCTTCTTAGCCATGAACTTGAATACTTATAGAAAAGAAACAAGAAAAATTGCTGTTCTTGTCGTAGTTGGTATTGTTTCAACTTTTAATCTTATAGGGAATTATCATGCCTTTTGTYTATAAATTGGAGTGTTTTTCTCTAGACTTGCATGAATTGGCCTTGGTGAGGGTGAGGGTTTTGATTGATGTAATTGACTGGTTAGAGTTCCTTTATAAGGGAAAGAACCTGAAGAGTTGTTAGAACTAGCATGAAAGAAGTAGYAACAGACTTAGATGGAGAAACCAATCTGAAAATGCTTTATTTTCTGGTGAAGCCTTTGATTTCCAGGGTCTCTCTTTTGAAAAACGTTCTCAGACGTTTCTTAGGATGAGAATGAGAATTTCCTTAGACTCTACTTTTTTCTCTCTGGGACAAATTCAAACCTTGTGGAGGGTATGTTCGATCAAAATAACAGTTGATTTATACCTGCAAAGTGCAAATCGTATTGCTCCATTCATGGACAGGGAATTTGCCTAGCCTTTGGCTTTATGTTCACAGCATATGTCTACAAAAACCATTGGTTTTTTAAGGTGAACGTCAAGCATGTTTGGGGTAATGCTACTATATAATGCACATATATTTACCTAATGCAATTATCCTTTCCACATATTGTGGTTACAATCCAAGTGCTCAAGAGTTAAAAGAGTTAAGTATGCAGTGCAAGGATGATAGAATATTTTCTTTTCTATCTTTTGTTTGTTAAGGTTAATGTGGTCTTGATGATTAAGTTTGACAGGGAGAACTTTCTCTGCCACATCCTTCTCACATCTTGATGCTCTTTGGATGTCATAGCATATTGTGTTGTTGCCAAAGAATCCAYTGGGAAACAGGTGTCTATAGCTTTTCTTGAACGCATAAAAGCAGACTTCAAAAAGAGATATGGTGGGGGTAAAGCTGATACAGCCGTTGCCAAGAGTCTTAACAAGGAGTTTGGGTATGTTTATTCAAGAGATACCACCTTTGTGAATAGGTTGCATCTTTACCCAAGGTTTCTCTGTTTCAGTTTTCAGCTTCAAACTAGGTTTTGGCCTGATTCCAAACTGAAATATGGACAAAGTTTCAAGTGTTTTAATCATAAAAAGGAAAGTGAAAATGTCTTTTTCTTACCCCCTTTTATTTTCTTTTTCTCTCCTTTCCTGTTTCTTCTCTATTTCATCTTTATCCTCCCTATATCTTCTCTATTTCGTCTGGTACTATCCTATTTCAAACATAATGAATTGCTTCAAAATTTGAAATTTGTTTATAGCCCCTTCATATTCTTCCATTCTTTTTTGGTATAACAATAATTACCAGTGGAAAATGGTTCTGAAATTGCAGCCCAGTTATGAAAGAGCACATGCAATATATCATTGACCATGCTGAAGAGATTGGGAAGCTTTTAAAAGTGAAGGCTCAGGTTTCAGAAGTGAAAAGTATTATGCTGGAAAATATAGACAAGGTATATTTACTGGCATTTTACACTGTCCTAAAACTAATATGCACACGTCTACTGATTATGTATATATACAACTATTTGAAATTAGTTGTGCATGAGAA